AAAAAAATCTTCCTTATTCTCATATTTAAATCTCCAGCAGTCATGACGTAGATGCATAAAACATATCTTTGTCAAAATTTTCCAGGATTTAAGAATATGTTATACTTTCCTTTTATTAGCAGATGGCACTCTCAGGTTAGATTTCAATGTTAACAAGTTTAGTAAGTCAAAATATAGAAACAATGTTAGTTTTTTTAGGTAAATGGTTGTAGTATTTTTAAAATGCCTTTCCAGAACAATGCCTGCTCAGTTTAAAAGTCTAATTTTCTGTATTTTAAACAGGGTTTTTTTTTTTTTTTGCTTTTCTCCCCTTAATTCTTTTCTTTCAATTCTGAAGTTTTTCTCAAAGTGTTTAGTTATTGTTTTAGCAAATAGTTGTGAGTCTGGATTATTTCCTTTTGGGGTTAGGTTTTAAACAAGAAAGAATCCTCTCACCCAGTTCCAGACACTATTCACTAAGTCCATTCCAGCACCATTTTTAGGTATTCTGCGGCTGCCCCAGCTTCATGGCAGTCATCTTTAGGCTGCTTCTTCTCCTCATCATAGCTGAGAGGGAAAAAAAAACCCAGGGTCCAGCAGGAGAGTTGCAAATCTCTGTGGTCTCACAAGGCACCCCTGTTTGCTTTGCCACCCCTACAGGGTGGCTTTGGCTCCTTTTGGAGCCCACCAATGGTAACAACTCTGCACGGGAGCGCAGAGACCTGCTCCTTGTGTCCTATCTCGCTGCAACGTCAACCGGAAGTCACATAAATCTCCATATACAATATGGAACTCAGATCTGACTCAGTTTTGAGGAGAGGTGAAAATATTCAAGTCTTTATTTTACTTACTCTAAAATAAATCTTCCCTTTCTCCTCTGTACCCACAGTTAAAGAAGAACAAAGCATATCTGGCTTGAGTTTTCTTAGGATTAGTGAAATTATTTGGAAATCTCACATGTAAAGTCTGTCCAAAACATCGCTTTTATCCCAATCAATATGTAAAACCAGGGCCCAAGTTCCCCTTTAAAGGATCTGCATGGTTTCCCTTTTCAGACTAAACACACCCACACAAAGGTTGGGCACATTCCTGAATCCTTTTCTATGAATTTCCTCCATTCATTAAAGAGAGGGAAAATGATCTCGTGGCTGAATTTGTTGTATTGGCTAGTGCTCCTTAAGGGTAATGTTCCCTCTTGAAATAATTTATTTCCCTTTTCTCTTTTTGTATATAGAATATTACAGTGAAACCCTTTTGTTTTTAGGAGTCCAATCTCAAGTAGAGTTGGTGGAGTCTGGAGGGGATGTGGGAAGACCTGAAGGGTCCCTCAATCTCTCCTGCCAAGCCTCTGGATTCATCTACAGCAGCTACTGGATGCTCTGAGTGAGACAATATCCAGAAAAAAGTCTGGAATGGGTGGCCATAATAGATACAAATTCGTCTCCTTCCACTTTCTACTCAGACAAAGTGAAAGGACATTTCACCATCTCCAGGGACGATGCCAAAAGCCAGCTGCATCTGCAAATGAACAGCTCAAAACTGAAGACACAGCAGTCTATTACTGTGTTAAATACACAGTGAAAGGAACTGGATCTAAAACCATATCAAAAAAACCAACAGCAAACGAACAAACAAACAAACCCCAACCCCATAGTTTTTCAAAGCAGCTCTGAAACTTCACCATCTCCAGGGACAATGCCAAAAGCCAGCTGTATCTGCAAATGAACCTCAAAACTGAAGACACAGTAGTGCAGGGGTGAAATGCTCCCAGATCGGACCGGATCGCCTGATCCAGTAGCGATTTTTCCCTGTGAAAAAAAAAGAAGAAAGTCCAGTTACCTTTTAGTAACAGAGGTGGAAGGGACATTGGAGGTCATCTAGTCCAACTGACCTGTACTAAGGATTTGAACCAACATTTCTGATCGACAAGCTCAGTGTCTTAGCCAGTGAGCCACCTGTGGTTTGGCGATCCGGTAGCGATCGCCGCCCGGGTGTCATTACTTCCTGGTTTTAACCAGGAAGTATTTTTTTTTTACCTTCTGTGCATGTGCAGAAGGTTTTGTGCATGAACAGAAGGTATGCACATGCATGTGACGCGCAGCCCATGCGTTTCCGAACTGGTAAGGAAAGTCAGATTTCACCCCTGCAGTCTTGTATTACTGTAGAACATAGACAGTGAAAGGAAGTAGATCTAAAACCATACAAGAAAATAACCCATGTTTTTCAAAGCAGCTCTGAAACCTGACTCTGCCTGAGATCCTAGATCAGTCAATGAGGATCGATCACCGTATATTGAGAGCTTTAGGAATCTCTTGTTTTAGGTATCCAATGAGAGAGTTTGCTGGAACAAAATGAAAAATGATGAAAATGGCTGGAAAAATTCCAATTTTTTCCTTCCCTGTTTACAAGGTGATTTGGCTTCGGAAAATCCTAGAATGGGAAATTAGTCCTTTAGTATCATGGCAGAAGGATAGAAATGGAGCTTAAGGATAATCCTTCTAATTATCACATATTTCAAAAATATCTCCTCTGAAAGAATTACCTTGGAGAAGTAGAAAGGTGCCTCCACTCCTCACTTTTGTCACTAGGGGCTATGTTGTCTCATGACATTGCATGGATGGGGTAGGGCAGGGGTCTGCAACCTTAAACACTCAAAGAGCCATTTGGACCCATTTCCCACAGAAAAGAAAACACCGGGAGACACAAAACCCTTCCTGTACCTGAGTATTTCTTGAGCGGCCACAAAACTAGCATATGTAATTGAATTAAACATTCTGTTTTCTTCTAAAACATTTCTTTTCTTGGATCTTGGTTGAAAAGCTCAATGTATTGTGTGCCGGGAGGTGTCAGTCATTGGTGCTTGTGACGCATATTTTGAGTGACAGGGAGCCGCAGAAGAGGGCTGAAAGAGCCACATGCGGCTCCAGAGCCACAGGTTGCTGATCCCTGGGGTACGGAATAAAAACAAGTATCAGTAGGAATGTAACAACTACTTCAAAATGGCACAACATAGGAGGACCAACCCATCAGGACAAGATTCAGCAGTCCATTTGACAAGGATCATTCTTTTGAAGACAGAAAAGCCCATATTCTGAACAGAGAGAATAGCTGGTCAAAGAGGCCATCTACATTTAGACTGAACAGCTCTCTCTCAATGGGGGTGGGGGGTGGCGTAGGCAGGGATGGAATACAACACCACCTATCTACCAGTAGTCCTGGTAGCAATTCCAAGAAGGTTCCACGCACATTTGCACTGATTCAGGTGAGCCTGAGGCACAGGTAAACCTCCAAATAGCCTCAGCAACTCTCAGAAAGAGTGCTAACAACCAGATGATTGCAAGGAGGATAAATCCTTCCGTCCTCCACCATTCGATCAGAACTGAAGAAGCTTCTTGGATGAGAATCCCAAAGCTGTTTTTTTCAAGACTTTCTAGTTTTTCTTTGAAGATGTTTCGCTTCTCATCCAAGAAGCTTCTTCAGCTCTGACTGGATGGTGGGGAACGGAAGGATTTATCCTCCTTGCAGACAGCTGGACATTTGCATCCTTTTAGCGAGTCGTTAAGGTCACCTGAGAGGTTTACCTGTGTCATCAGGGTCCCATGAGTGGTGCAAATGGGTGTGGACCCTGATGGGTTTATTACTGTGTGAGATACACAGTGAGGGGAAGTGATTCTGAAGCCATGCAAGGACCTTCCTTTCTTCAGAGCAGCTCTTCAACTTGTTTCAGCCCAAAACAATGGATTAGTGAAGGAGGATTCATCAAAATCCAGAGAGAATTTTGGACTCTTTTGTTCTGGGAAACCAATTAGAGAGTTTATTGGAAGAAGGGCCTGGTGGCTCAGCAGACTAAAAAAGCTTTGTGATTAACACCAGCTGTCTGCAATTACTGTAAGTTCGAATCTCACCAGGCTCAAGGTTGACTCAGCCTTCCATCCTTTCTAAGGTAGGTTAAATGAGGACCCAGTTTGTGGGGGCAATAAGCTGACTTTGTATAAATATACAAAAGTATGAAGGCTATTGCTTAACGCATTGTAAGCCGCCCTGAGTCTCCGGAGAAGGGCAGCATATAAATCAAATAATAAAAAAAAAAGTTGGAAAAAAAATAGCTTGAAAACACAAGTTTTACCTTCACTGTTTATAATGGGGAAATGATTTGAGAAACAAACTGGAATTAAAAATAGTCCGTTACTATCATTGTAGAAAACAGGAAATGAAACTAGGATAATCTTTCTAAATATCCAAACTGCCATATAGATCTTGAGAAAATATTAAGGAAGGTGTTTCCCTCTCCTCACTTTGGACACTAGGGGGCAGTGTTGTCACACGAAACTCCATGGCCTCTGCACTGGGTGGGGGATGGGATAGGGAATAAAACAAGGGTCATTAGATATGGTCTCATTTCTCAGACATGTTTTTTTTTTTAATTATTGTTTCCATAATAGTTCACTGAAAGCTCTGAGGAAAATTTCACATCTAAGGAGCTTATAATCCTCACCATGAAGCTCAGAATTTTTGATAAAATGATGTGTCATCAGTGTTTGTATCCAGGGGAAGTTTCTAGAATGTATAAAGGTCAAATTGTCTTAAAAATTGGTGCCTCATCATTTGGTTTGCACTCACTTATTGTTGGTTTATTCAAGGGAACATACTAAGGAGAGAAATTATGGGGGGGGGGGGAAGGAAACCTCCCGAATTCAGATGTGATCTTCTTTTCATGTTCTATCTCAAAATATCTCCTTCCAAAACTTTTATTACACGTTCCTCAACTGTCCTTTTGAAACATCTTTGAGAATTTCTGAAATTTAGCAAGTCTTCATTTCCTGCTGTTTCTCCAATGACTTATAGTTTAAAGAAAAGGAGTCTGCCTTCACTTTTATTAAGGGTGGCATGTTATGTGAAAATCAGCCATAAAAACTATGAGATCAATGCACTGAAGGACCATTTTATCCCAAGCGATATGCAAATCAAGGCAAAATTTCCCCTTTAAAGGAGCCGCTTGGTTTCCCTTTTCAGCTACACCCAACAACACAAAGTTTGTGCACTTTCCTGAATTCTTTCCTCTCAATTCCCTCCATTCATTACAGGGAGCGAAAATGATGCCATGGCTGAATTTGGTGTCCTTGTTAGTGCTCATTCAAGGTATTTTTTTCCCTCTTTAAAGAATTTCCATTCATAATCTCTTTTTCTATATTGAAGATTTCATTGAAACACTTTCCCTTTTAGGAGTTCAATCTCAAGTACAGTTGGTGGAGTCTGGAGGGGATGTGAGAATACCTGGAGGGTCCCTCCGTCTCACCTGCCAAGTCTCTGGATTCACCTTCAGCAGCTATTACATGGGCTGGATGAGACAGGCTCCAGGGAAAGGCCTGGAATGGGTGGCCTACATAGGTACATCCTCATCTCCAATTTACTACCCAGACAAAGTCAAGGGACGCTTCACCATCTCCAGGGACGATGCCAAAAGCCAGATGTATCTGCAAATGAACAGTCTCAAACTGGAGGACACAGCTCTCTATTACTGTGCCAGAAACACAGTGAGAGGAAGTGAATCTGATGCCAAGCAAAAACCTCCTCTTCCTCTGAGCAGCTTTCTGAATCGAATCCCAGTGAGGGGAAGTGAGGAGAGACTCTAGAAAGAGTGTAGAGAAGAGCAACAAAGATGATTAGGGGACTGGAGGCTAAAACATATGAAGAACGGTTGCAGGAACTGGGTATGTCTAGTTTGATGATGAGAAGGACTAGGGGAGACATGATATCAGTGTTCCAATATCTCAGGGTGTGCCACAAAGAAGAGGGAGTCAAATTATTCTTCAAAGCACCTGAGGGTAGAATAAGAAGCAACGGGTGGAAACTAATCAAGGAGAGAAGCAATTTAGAACTAAGGAGAAATTTCCTGACAGTTAGAACAATTAATAAGTGGAACAACTTGCCTGCAGAAGTTGTGAATGCCCCAACACTGGAAATTTTTAAGAAGATGTTGGATAACCATTTGTCTGAAGTGGTGTAGGGTTTCCTGCCTGGGTAGGGGGTTGGACTAGAAGACCTCCAAGGTCCCTTCCAACTCTGTTATTCTGTTCTGTATTCCGATTCTGAAGCCATGCAAGGACCTTCCTTTCTTCAGAGCAGCTCTTCAACTTCTTTCAGCCCAGAACAATGGATTAGTGAATGAAAATTCATCAAAATCCAGAGAGAATTTTGGACTCTTTTGTTCTGGGAAACCAATTAGAGAGTTTATTGGAAGAAAATCAAAAGTTGAAAAAAAAAATAGCTTGAAAACTCCAGTTTTGCCTTCGCTGTTTATAATGTGGAATGATTTTAGAAACAAACTGGAATTAAAAATAGTCCGTTACTGTCATGGTAGAAAGCAGGAACTGAAACTATAATTGGATAAACTTTCTAAATATCCAAACTGCCATATAGATCTTGAGAAAATATTAAGGAAGATGTTTCCCCCTCCTCACTTTGGACACCAGGGGGCAGTGTTGTCACACGAAACTCCATGGCCTCTGCACTGGGTGGGGGATGGGATAGGGAATAAAACAAGGGTCATTAGATATGGTCTCATTTCTCAGACATGTTTTTTTTAAATTATTGTTTCCATAATAGTTCACTGAAAGCTCTGAGGAAAATTTCACATCTAAGGAAGTTATAATCCTCACCATGAAGCTCAGAATTTTTGATAAAATGATGTGTCATCAGTGTTTGTATCCAGGGGAAGTTTCTAGAATGTATAAATCAAATTGTCTTAAAAATTGGTGCCTCATCATTTGGTTTGCACTCCCTTATTGTTGGTTTATTCAAGGGGACTTAGGAGAGAAATTATGGGGGGGGGAGGAAACCTCCCGAATTCAGATGTGATCTTCTTTTCATGTTCTATCTCAAAATATCTCCTTCCAAAACTTTTATTGCATTTTCCTCACCTGTCCTTTTGAATCATTTCTGAGAATTTCTGAAATTTAGCAAGTCTTCATTTTCCTGCTGTTTCTCCAATGACTTTATAGTATAAAGAAAAGAAGTCTGCCTTCACTTTTATTAAGAGTGGCATGTTGTGTGAAAATCAGCCATATAAACTGTGAGATCAATGCACTGAAGGACCCTTTTATCCCAAGCGATATGCAAATCAAGGCACAATTTCCTCTTTAAAGGAGCTGTGTGGTTTCCCTTTTCAGGCTACACCCAACAACACAAACTTTCTGCACTTTCCTGAATTCTTTCCTCTCAATTCCCTCCATTCATTACAGGGAGCGAAAATGATGCCATGGCTGAATTTGGTGTCCTTGTTAGTGTTCATTCAAGGTATTTTTTTTCCCTCTTTAAAGAATTTCCATCCATAATCTCTTTTTCTATATTGAAGATTTCATTGAAACACTTTCCCTTTTAGGAGTTCAATCTCAAGTACAGTTGGTGGAGTCTGGAGGGGATGTGAGAACACCTGGAGGGTCCCTCCGTCTCACCTGCCAAGCCTCTGGATTCACCTTCAGCAGCTCTGTAATGAGCTGGGTGAGACAGGCTCCAGGGAAAGGCCTGGAATGGGTGGCCTTCATACATACAAGTTCCACTCCAATTTACTACTCAGACAAAGTGAAGGGACGCTTCACCATCTCCAGGGACGATGCCAAAAGCCAGATTTATCTGCAAATGAACAGCCTCAAACTAGAGGATACTGCAATTTATTACTGTGCCAGACACACAGTGAGAGGAAGTGAATCTGATGCCAGGCCAAAACCTTCTCTTCCTCTGAGCAGCTGTCCAAATTGAATCAGAAAGTTGAATCTGTGTATTTAAAGTGAGAGAGAACATAAATCTCCATATACAATATGGAACCTCAGATCTGATCTTCTAAGAAGCTGTGAGGGAGATGATTGACATTTTTTTTTATTGCAAAAGTTTTACAATTACATTTTCACCCCTTTCCCCCCCCTCAACCCACCCCAGCCTTCCCAACCTCCCTAACCCTCCCTAACCCTCCCCTCCCCCCGGACTTCCACACAGTATACTCATATCAAGTAAAAAAAAAAAAACCTTTGTATAAAACTTATATAAAACTTGAACCCTCCCTCCCCCTTATAATTTTCTTTTTTATCTTCATTACATTAACATATTTCTATCTTAATATATCATTTTCAAATGAAAGCTATTTGATACTTCCTAGTTTGGTATTTGTTCTGAACATAATCTATCCATTTTTTCCATTCCCATTCATAAGTCTCTTGTAAGCAGTCTTTTAGATATGCTGAAATCTTCGCCATCTCTGCAAAACTGGCCATCTTCATAGTCCATTCCTCGATAGTGGGCAAAGCTTCATTTTTCCAGTATTTACCTATCAATAATCTTGCTGCTGTTATCATATACAATATCAACTTTGTTTCACCCAATGTAAAACCCTTAACTATACCCAATAAAAACAGTTGTGGAGAAAATTGAATTTTTTTCTTTAAAACATTCTGCATGACCCACCAAATTTTTATCCAAAAAGCCTTAACTTTCCTACAAGTCCACCAAACATGATAATATGTAGCGTCTAAACAGTCACATCTCCAACATTTTGGCTGAACATTAGGGTACATACACGACAATTTTTTGGGGTCTAAGTGCCATCTATAAAACATTTTATAGAAAATTTCCCTCAGATTTTGCGACTGTGTAAATTTTACATTCTGAACCCAAATTTTTTCCCATGTTTCCAACATCACTGGTTCTTCAAAATTTTGTGCCCACTTAATCATACAATCTTTAACTAACTCTGTTTCTGAATCCCTTTCTAACAAAACATTATAAAGCCTTTTAATATGCATTGGACCTTTCTCTTTTATATGTCTAACCAGTTCTTCCTCATGCAACATAATACCAGTTTTTTGGTCCTCTTTCCATCTCAATTGTAGTTGATTATATTGTAGCCAGGTTAAGTTAATCCCTTCAGCCAACAGTGTCTGTAGTGTCTTCAGCTGCCATCTGCCCGCATCTGTAAAAAGAACCTCTTTATATAAAACCCCCCGAGTGACATTATATTTGTATTCCACAAAGTATGACCAAGATCCAGCCATAGCGGTATTTTATAATCCCATTTGAATTGGTGCTTCTTCCAAACTCATCAAAGAGTCTCTAAGTATATGGCTTTTAAATACTTTATCCACTTTGTTGTCATAGAATAAGTAAGCATGCCATCCAAATTCAAGATCAAAACTTTCTATATTCAATATTCCAGTCTTTTTCTTCCAAACCAATCACTTGTTAGAGTCAAAGCTGCTGCATCATAATATAACTGTAGGTTTGGAAGTTTAAGACCTCCCCTTTCTGGAACATCTTGCATAATTTTCAATTTCACTCTCGGTTTTGATAGGTGAGAAGAAGGAACTCTCCAGGCTGTGGAACAAACTGGGTAGTTTGTAAAAAAATGGCTTCTTATCATTAATCTGGTTTAGATTAACTGGAATTCAAAGTATGATCATGGTAGAAAACAGGAAATGAAGCTAGGATAATCTTTCTAAATATCCAAACTCTCATGTAGATATTGAAGAAATATTAAGGAAGATGTCTCCCCTCCTCACTTTGGACACGAGAGGGCAGCCTTGCCACATGAAACTCCGTGGCCTCTGTAGTGGATGGGGGATGGGATAGGGAATAAAAGAAGGGTGATTAGATATGGTCTCATTTCTGGGACATGATTTTTTAATTATTGTTTCCTTTATAGTTCACTGAAAGCTCTGAGGAAAATTTCACATTATAATCCTCACCTGAAAGCTCGGAATTTTTGATAAAATGATGGATCATCAGTGTTTGTATCCAGAGAAAGTTTCTAGAATGTACAAAGATGCTACAGACCTTTGGTGAAAATGAAAAGTACATGAAGGGACATTATATCATGTGCACACACACACACCAGTGGTGGGTTCCTCCCGGTTCCGCCTCATTCCGCAGAGCCGGTAGAGGTGACGATATGACGTCACCGAACCGGTTCTGCCCTCCCCCACCTCCCCTGCCCCGCCCCGCATTATTCTTACCTTTTATTTGGCCCCACCCCCAATCTATTTCTACCTCCTGAGTCCCAGCTGATTGGCTAGAAGGAAAAAAAAACTGTTTAAACTCTTGCCACGGGGCTTCAAAAGGCCGCCCTAGAGCAGATCAGTGTTAAAAGGCAGTGTAGTGGTAGACCGGAGAATCCAAAAACAAATGAGTAGACCGGTGCCTGCAAAAATAAATGGGTAGACCAGTGCCTCCAAAAACAAATGAGTAGACCTGTGCCTGCAAAAACAAATGGGTAAACCAGTGCCTCCAAAACAAATGAGTAGACCGGTACAGCTCTGCAAGCAGTTAGAAGCCTGGTAGGCCAGTACCTCTGCTAAATCCTAAAGAATTGTTATATGACCATCAAGCCACGCCCACAAAATAAGCCACGCCTACAGAACTGGTAGTAAAAAAAATTTAGAACCCACCCCTGGCACACACGCACACATAAACACACAGAGAGAGTGTATATTCCTCAGTGTGAAGCCATGTCTGAGTTGACAATTAAATATGAGCCAACTGTGTGGCGGCAGCCAAAAAAGCCAATTGCAATCCTTAATTGCATTAACAGAGGGATTCAATCAAGATCACATGAGGTACTAATATCACTTTATAAAGCCGTAGTAAGACCACACCTAGAATACTGAATCCAGTTTTGGTCACCACACTGTAAAAAAGATGTTTGGACTCTAGAAAGAGTGCAGAGAAGAGCAACAAAGACGCTTAGGGGATTGGAGACTAAAACATGTGAAGAACGGTTGAAGGAACTGGGCATGGCTAGTCTAGTGAACAGAAGGACCAGGGGAGACCTGATTGCAGTCTTCCAGTACTTGGGGGGCTGTAACAGAGATCAGGTGGTCAACCTTTTTTCCAAAGCACCTGAAGGCCAGACTAAGAATTATGGATGGAAACTGAACAAGGAGAGATTCAACCTAGAAATAAAGAGAAATTTTCTGACAGTAAGAACAATCAGCCAATGGAACAGCTGCAGAAGTTGTGGGAGCTTTATCACTGGAGGCTTTCAAGAAGAGAGTGGACTACCATCTGTCAGAAATGGTGTAGGGTCTCTTGCTTGGGTGGGGGGTTGAAGTAGATGACATACAAGGTCCCTTCCTATTCTGTTAATCCGTTAGTGCTTAACGTAATGGAAACTGAATTATTTATATAATACAGTCCGGGACAGGTAAAAACTTAACACTTCAAGTCCTAATCAAGGAGTTTACAGCAGTTAAGGCAGCATTTGAATATATAGTCAGTTCCTAGTAGGGTGGGTTTTTTTGCAAAGTCAGAATATTCAGTTCTTAATAAGTTCAAAAATTCCATGTATCCAGGTAGCCATTTGGTTATTGCTCCTATTGTTATTGGTTCAACCATTGATTTCTTCCTCAATAATCACTTAACTTCTAGTTGCAAATCAAAATTGTTTTTCCTAGCTGTTTCTCCTCAATTTGTGCATCAACTCATATTGTAATCCCCCCCCCCTGCACACACAATATGATATCAGGCATGTTGTGGCCCAGATGTCTATCTGTCCTACCATTATTTCAATTTTTATCCATCTTGGGGAATCAACTCTCGGCAATGAATAACTGATCAATAGCAACCCCAAACAAGCAATATATAAAATGAAAACTACCGCCAAGTTAAAACCCAATTTCATGAGCAAAGAACATCCCACAGGCTTCATCAATTTCTTCTCTCTTGTGTCTTTTATTTGATTCAACTCAAATTGTCTTACAAATTAGTGCCTCATCATTTGTTTTGCACTCATTTATTATTGGTTTATTAAAGGGGACATACTAAGGAGAGAAAATATGGGGGGAAAAAGCCCTCCTGAATTCAGATGTGATCTTCTTTTCATGCTCTATCTCAAAATATCTCCTTCCAAAACTTTTGAGAATTTCTGAAATTTAGCAAGTCTTCGTTTTCCTTAATTACCCTTATATAAACCCACTGTTTGGCCAATGACTTTATAGTTTAAAGAAAAGGAGTCTGCCTTCACTTTTATTAAGAGTGGCATGTTACGTGAAAATAAGACATATAAAAGGTGAACTGTTAGATTAATGGACTGAGGGGCCCTTTTATCCCAAGCGATATGTAAATGAAGGCAAAATTTCCCCTTTAAAGGAACCGCTTGATTTCCCTTTTCAGGCAACACCCAAGAATACAAAGTTTCTGCACTTTCCTGAATTCTTTCCTCTCAATTCTCTCCATTCCTTACAGGAAGCAAAAATGATCCCATGGCTGAATTTGGTGTCCTTGTTAGTGTTCCTTCAAGGTATTTTTTCACTCTTTAAAGAATCTCCTTCCATATCCTCTTTTTGTAAATAGAAGGTTTCATTGAAACACTTTTGTTTTTAGGTGTCCAATCTGAGGTTCAATTGGTGGAGTCTGGAGGGGATGTGAGAGGACCTGGGAAGTCCCTCCGTCTCTCCTGCCAAGTCTCTGGATTCACCTTCAGCAGCTACTGGATGGTTTGGGTGAGACAGGCTCCAGGGAAAGGCCTGGAATGGGTGGCCTTAATAGTTACAGGCTCATCTCCTTCCACTTACTACCCAGACAAAGTCAAGGGACGCTTCACCATCTCCAGGGACGATGCCAAAAGCCAGCTGTATCTGCAAATGAACAGCCTCAAACCAGAGGACACAGCTGTCTATTACTGTGCAAGACACAGTGAGAGGAAGTGAATCTGTTGCCAAGCAAAAACCTCCTCTTCCTCTGAGCAGCTTTCCAAATTGAATGAGAAACTTGCATTCGTGTATTTAAAGTGCAAAGCAATAGATAAATCTCCATATACAATATGGAACCTCAGATCTGAACTTTTAAGAAGCAGTGTGGAAGATGATTGACATTTTCATAGGTGAGAAGAAAGAACTCTCCAGGCGGTGGAACAAACTGGGTAGTTTGTAAAATGAGCCTTCTTATCTAATTCTAATGTAATCCAAACTCACCTAATGGAAACAAATCATTAGTGTTGAAGAAGAGAACGATTATCCTAGAAAACGATTATAAAAGTGGTACAGAACATATTTTGATAAATGAAGTAGCAAAAGCACTTCATGGTACATTACAGACCTCTTTGACTTGTTTAGAGAGTCAGCATATTGCCCCCAACAACTTTGGTCCTCACTTTACCAACCTCAGAAGGATGGAATACTAGGTCAACTTTGAGTCAGTCCGGATCGAACTCCTGGCAGTCTGCAGAGTCAGCCTGCAATGCTGCATTCTAACCACTGCACCACCAGGGAAATACCCATGCAACACTCACTGCATTGAGTAACATAAGCCATGTCTGATTTAGCAGCAAATGTGCTTGTGAAATATAGAGGAAGCTTAATTATTTGTACAATATAAAGTTATTTATTTGTAGAAATAATTCATTTGTATTATATGGATATCTTCTCCGTCTATTTTTTTCTCTCATTCCAACTCTGACTTACCAATTGTGCCTCATCAAGCATTGGGGTTTTGGGGTCCTTTTCAAAAGGCCATGGAAAGGGGAGAAAATGTGGAGGGCTTTAACTGAATGTAGATGTGATCTTCCCTTCAGGTTCTCTCTCCAACGTAGCCCTTTCAAAAAGTATAATTACATGTTCCTTGCCTGTCCCTTTCAAACACTTTGGGGAAGCAGTGAAATTTTGCAAGTCTTTCTTTTAATTATTCCAATATAAACCTGCCATTTCCGCTATGAATTTACAGTAAAAAATATCGAAAGAGACTGCCTCCACTTTTATTAAGACTGGAATCTTTTGAGAAAGTCTTCCATGTATGGAGACTAGAAGGAAAAATGTGAGATTAATGCACTGAGGGGCACTTTTATCTGAAGAGATATGTAAATGAAGGCACAATTTCCCTTTAAAGGATCCACTTGATTTCTCTTTTCAGGCTACACCCACCCACACAAAGTTTCTGCACTTTCCTGAATTCTTTCCTCTCAATTTCCTTGATTCCTTATAGGGAGCAAAAATGACCCCATGGATGAATTTGGTGCCCTTGTTGATGCTCCTTCAAGGTAGTTTTCCCCCTCTTTAAACAATTAACTTCATTTTTTTTTCTTTTTGTATATAGAAGATTTGATTGAAACACTTTTTTTTAGGAGTTCAATCTCAAGTACAGTTGGTGGAGTCTGGAGGGGATGTGAGAAGACCTGAGGAGTCCCTCCGTCTCTCCTGCCAAGCCTCTGGATTCACCTTCAGCAGCTTTGACATGCAGTGGGTGAGACAGGCTCCAGGGAAAGGCCTGGAATGGGTGTCATACATAGGTACAGGATCATCTCCTTCCATTTACTACTCTGACAAAGTGAAAGGACGCTTCACCATCTCCAGGGATGATGCCAAAAGTCAGAAGAGCCTTGGTACTACAGGGGTTTAAGGCACCCTGTTATTAAGCTTATTAAGACCAGCTGCCTGCAATTACTGCAGGGTTCGAATCTCGCCAAGGCTCAAGGTTGACTCAGCCTTCCATCCTTTCTAAGGTAGGTGAAATGAGGACCCAGTTTGTGGGGGCAATAAGCTGACTTTGTATAAATATACAAAAGGATGAAGGCTATTGCTGAGCACATTGTAAGCCGCCCTGAGTCTTCGGAGAAGGGCGGCATATAAATCAAAAATTAAAAAAAAAAATTAAAAAAAAAAGATGTATCTGCAAATGAACAGCCTCAAACTGGAGGACACAGCTGTCTACTACTGTGCAAGACACAGTGAGTGGAAGTGAATCTGATACCAAACAAAAACCTTCCTTTCCTCTGAGCAGCTTTCCAACTTGAATGAGAAAGTTAAATTTCTTTATTTAAAGTGAGAAGAGGAACATAAATCTCCATATACAATTTGGAACCTCAGATCTGAGGTGTGTGAAAGGTGATTGACATTTTGATAAGTGAGAAGAAGGAACTCTCCAGGCTGTGGAACAAACTGGGTAGTTTGTAAAAAAAAATAGCTTCTTATCGTTAATCTGTTTTAGTTTAACTGGAATTAAATGTATGATCATTGTAGAAACCAGGAAATGAAAGTAGGATAATCTTTCTAAATATCCAAACTGCCATATAGATATTGTGGGAATATTAAGGAAGATGTCTCCCCTCCTCACTTTGGACACGAGGGGGCAGCGTTGTCACATGGAATTCCATGGACTCTGCAGTGGGTGGGGGATGGGATAGGGAATAAAAGAAGTGTCATTAGATATAGTCTCATTTCTCAGACATGTTTTTTTATTATTATTGTTTCCATAATAGTGCACTGAAAGCTCTGAGGAAAATTTCACACCTAAGGAGGTTATAATCCTCACCTTAAAGCTCAGAATTTTTGATAAAATGATGGATCATCAGTGTTTGTATCCAGAGGAAGTTTCTAGAATGTATAAAGGTGCTTCAAACATTTGAAAAGTACATGAAGGGACATTATATCCTGTGCACGCACACACCGCACACATATATATGTGTGAGAGAGTATATATTCCTCATTGTGAAGCCATGTCTGAGTTCACAATTAAATATGAGCAAATAGTGTGGGGCGGCATCCAAAAAAGCCAATTGCAATCCTGAATTGCATTAACAGAGGGATTCAATCAAGATCACGTGAGGTACTAATATCGCTCTATAAAGCCATAGTTAGACCACACCTAGAATACTGAATCCAGTTTTGGTCACCACACTGTGAAAAAGATGTTGAGACTCTAGAAAGAGTGCAGAGAAGAGCAACAGAGATGATGAGGGAACTGGACGCTAAAACATGTGACGAACAGTGGCAGGAACTGGGCATGTCTAGTCTAGTGAAGAGAGGGACCAGGGGAGACCTGATTACAGTCTTCCAATACTTGGGGGGGGGGGGCGCTGTAACAGAGATCAGGTGGTCAACCTATTTTCCAAAGCACCTGAAGGCCAGACCAGGAATTACACATGGAAACTGAACAAGAAGAGATTCAACCTAGAAATAAAGAGAAATTTTCTGACAGTGAGAACAATCAACCAATGGAACAGCTGCAGAAGTTGTGGGAGCTTTATCACTGGAGTCTTGTGGTCCCTTCCTATTCTGTTTATCCGTTAGTGCTTAATGTAGTGACAGAATTCTTTGTAGAATACAGTCTGGGACTTCGCACTTCAAGTCCTAACGAAGGAGCTCAGAACTGTTAAGGCAACATCTGAATAAGGCAGTTCCTAGTAGGGTAGTGGTTGGTTTTTTTTCACAGTCAGAATATTCAGGTCTTAATAAGTTCAAAAATTCCATGTATCTGGGCAGCCGTTTGGTTATTGCTCCAAGAGCTCCTATTCCTTTTGGTTCAACCATTGATTTCTTCCTCCATAATCACTTAAGTTCAATTTGCAAATCAATATTTTTTTTCCTAGCTGTTTCTCCTCAATTAGTGCATTACCTGGGATTGCAAAAAAACCCTCCACACACAATATGATATCAGGTATGTTGTGACAAAGATGTCTATCTGTACTACTATTATTTCAATTTTTATCCATCTTGGTGAATCAACTCTCAGCAACGAATAACTGATCAATAGCAACCCCAAACAAACAATATATAAAATGAATACTACCGCCAAGTTAAAACCCAATCTAATGAGCAAAGAACGTCCCACAGGCTTCATCAATTTCTTCTCTCTTGTGTCTTTTCTTTGATTCAACTCAAATTGTCTTACAAATTGGTGCCTCATTATTTGGTTTGTACTCATTTATTGTTGGTTTATTTAAGGGGATATACTAAGGAGAGAAAATGTGTGTGTGTGTTGGGGGGAACTCCTGAATTCAGATGTGATCTTCTTTTCATGTTCTATCTCAAAATACCTCCTTCCAAAACTTTTATTGCATTTTCCTCGCCTGTCCTTTTGAATCATTTCTGAGAATTTCTGAAATTTAGCAAGTCTTCGTTTTCCTGCTGTTTCTCCAATGACCTTATAGTTTAAAGAAAAGGAGTCTGCCTTCACTTTTATTAAGAGTGGCATGTTACGTGAAAGTAACACATATAAACTCTGAGATCAATGCACTGAAGGACCCCTTTATTCCAAGCGGTATGCAAATCAAGACACAATTTCCCCTTTAAAGAATCCACTTGATTTCTCTTTTCAGGCTACACCCACCCACACAAAGTTTGTGCACTTTCCTGAATTCTTTCCTCTCAATTCCCTCCATTCATTACAGAGAGCAAAAATGATCCCATGGCTGAATTTGGTGCCCTTGTTAGTGTTCCTTCAAGGTATTTTTTTGCTCTTTAAAGAATTTCCTTTCATGTTCTCTTTTTTTAAATAGAAGGTTTCATTGAAATGCTTTTGTTTTTAGGAGTCCAGTCTCAAGTACAATTGGTGGAGTCTGGAGGGGATGTTAGAGGACCTGGGGAGTCCCTCCGTCTCTCCTGCCAAGCCTCTGGATTCACATTCAGCAGCTACTGGATGCACTGGGTGAGACAGGCTCCAGGGAAAGGCCTGGAATGGGTGGCCAACATACGTACAGGCTCATCTCCTTCCACTTACTACTCTGACACAGTCAAGGGACGCTTCACCATCTCCAGGGACGATGCCAAAAGCCAGCTGTATCTGCAAATGAACAGCCTCAAACTGGAGGATACTGCAATTTATTTCTGTACGAGAGACACAGTGAGAGGAAGTGAATCTGATGCCAAGCAAAAACCTTCTCTTCTTCTGAGCAGCTTTCCAAATTGAATCAGAAAGTTGATTTGGCATATTGAAA